GTGCTAAAACTTAGCACGTGTTGTTTCATTAGCTTTTCATGTCAACCCAAGATGGCTTTTATTACTGTCCCCACTCTACAATGAGGTAGCCGAGCTTTCAGGAGGTTAATTCACTTGCCACAATTAGTACACTAAGTCATAGTAGCTAACTTACAATAGTACCTTTATATTTATGCCCAATGTTAAATAGTACTTTAAAGAGGAATTAACTGGCTATTAAAACCAAGAGGCCCAAACTTCAGGGCTGATTTCTTTCCCAATGTAGTCATCAAAAGTTTGATTTCTCCTTATCTCTCCTGTCTGCCTCATCCGAAGGGGCTCCCCCGTCAGGAGATAAGATGGCTGCAATAGCACCATCCACATATCACATGCCCAGAGGAGAAATGGGAAAAGATCTTTCTCAAAACCTCCTGTGAAATCCTTCTCCAGACTCAATGGTCCAAATAGGCCCATGACTACCCCAGAACTCAGGACAGAGCCTTAGAGCCAGGAGTGTCTCCAATCTCCCCAAATCAAGAACTATAAGGGAGGTAAATGCCAGGCTTGTTTCTAAGAGTAGAGAAGTGACTGTTAGAGGGGAATCATCACCATTAGAATGTTGTAGAGCAATGATTTGAACCCAGACCTTGTCTGTCTATTCACACGGTATTTATTGAGTCCTTGTTATAGGTCAGGCACAATTTTAGATGGAGGCACAAACCATTCCTCTCACCCCCTGCTATTGGCTCTGCTGGCTCTTGTTACGGAGCGAGTCCCCAAGAGATGAACCACTGGAGCCAATTTGATTAAGCATGCTAGAGTTTATTACAGATTCGAATCCGGGCTCAAACCTTGGCTGACACAGCAGCCGGCAAACACCCAGGTGAGAGCCCCGATGGAGGGGCAGTCCCTCCAGAGCGCTCACACAAAAACACAGACAAACACACACCTACCGTGGCCAGTCAGGCTCTCCGGATTGGGGGTTCCTCATGGTCCTGGCTGGGGATCCCAGACGAATTCATGATCCCCAAGGACCACCAGGGAGCCGAGTCCGATGCAATAAACAAAAAAGCCTTCTCCATGCTAGCATGGGCTGTCCCACTCACGCTGGCAGCATGGCGGAAGAGAGCGAATATCGCCCAGTCCAGGGGTTTTACTCAGGTCGGTGGTGATGTCACTGCCTCAGCTAACCCTGATTGGCCCCTCAGGACAAAGAACTGGCCCTACATATCTGTTCCTAAATCCTAAAGACTAAATTCTACAGCCCGCAGGGTGGGTTCCCAGTCACACTCTGCTGAACATTGGAATGTGGCCCTATCTTGCCCATAATACAAAAGCAGAACTAAAGGTTATCTACAGTTTCTACCCCTGAAGCTACTGAGTCAGTGGGAGTCCATCTCCTGTAACTACCCTATTGTTTAAGCAAGTAATCGAAGGTCGAAGTCAGATAGCAAGGTTAAAATTCAAACAGCAGTTTTTACCAAAGTATGATTTCCACCATATTTCAGCTCTCAGGGCAAAAGCCTTGTTTTCACAAGACCTTCGAGCTGGACAACTGTCCTCCTAACTAGCTTTTCTAGGTTTGAAGCAGCTCTGTGGCTCCAGACTGACCATTTAATTTGTCTCTCAGCTTCTCACCTGTGAAACTGAGAGTAATGACACCTCCACCAAAGTTATAAGAATGAATCCACTGACTCTGAAAAGAAATATTCCTGTCAGGATGGGCTCCTCCTGGCTACCTGGACTCAAATTCACAACCAGAACCTGGCAGCCATTGCTGACCCAGGTCTCTCATGCACTGTAGAGGGCCAAATGGGAAGACATCTGGATATTCTTTAGATTGTTGCTGACTGGGCCCGGATATTGGCGGAGTCATGTCAGTTGCACTCCCGCCCTGGGCGTGCAGAGATGTTCTTAGTTCCTGGCTTGTGTTTGTCCAGGAGGAAGGAGTGGGTGGGACCTGGGCCCTCCTAGGCTCCTTGTTATCCTGTGAGACCCCCCATGTGGATAAATAGATGTGCTGTATGGCTCAGGAGGTTGTCAGTCTCTCCAGTAGAGGAGGTCTGCGACCCACCTGGGGCCCGGCTTAAACCTATTTCTGCATCAACTCTCTTCATTTCTTTATTTCTCAATCCCTGGCTGCCTCTATGAAGAACCCATTTCATCTCTCTTTCCGTGCTGGCCACGGAGAAGGGAGATCCCTGGCCGTATCAGTCCCCTGCAATGCACAATGCATCTTAGAGAGGCACAACAGGTCAGGTTGCCAAGACTTCTTGCCATTGGAACCAACTCTTATAAAAGAAGTTTCTGGAATCATATTTCTACCGAGATATGCCCTGTTCATTTGCAACAAGTGCTACATTTTCCTTTGCATCTTTACCAACCAATCAAAGCATCTCCATAATGACCAAGTGGATGCATGATTCTAACCAATCAGAACAATGCTAAGTGGACCAATTAAAATTTGTAAATTTGGACTCAGCATTTGCATAGAAATAGACCAATCAGGGCACCAGGGCAGGGACTTTATAAAAGCGGGCCTCCCCTTTGGAGAGCCAGTGGGAGAGCACACCTTTCGGTTTTCACCCAAGCTGGGTTTCTCTGGTTTGAAAACAGTCTCTCCTTTTAACGCCCCCAGAGTGGGGACTCCTGTTGGCACTGGATTGGTGGCAGGGACTATCTGTTAACAAAATAAAAATGGCTTCGGTGGGAAACATGAGGAAACTTAAAGCAGTAGACATCCAACCTAGTGGGCATGTAGTACTAGTAAGTCAACTCTCATTTTCATTCCATTGATGCTATGATTTGGATTTCTGTACATTACATCCTATTTTTTTTTGTCTCAGGCTTTATAAAGACATTTTAGTGTGAATACTGCTCCACAGATGCTAGTTCACCCTCTCTACTCTGTCTACAACTTAACTTTTTATAATCCAAACTAGAGTCCTGATGCACAAAGATTTGTGCAAGAATAGGCCTTCCTTCCCCTGACTGCAGTCACCGGCTTCCCTACAGCACACGGGACCCAGGCCTTCGCTCTGGCCAGAGCCACCTTCTGCCTTCACTCAGGCTGGAGTCACCTATCACCTTCACTCTAGCCCTGCTGCCCTCTGTAGCTCCCTTCACTCCCTAGCCCCCCTTATAGCAGGCATCCCACTCGGGGCCGCTTTGTGCCTGAGCGTGTACACTGCCCAGAGGTCCAGAGTGGTCGGGGTGGGGTGGAATGCCTGCATAGTCCCCATGGTGACAACACAAGCATCTCAGCCCAGCTGCTGCCATCTTTGTGTCAATTTGCATATCCCCTCCTTATTGGCTGTGGGCATAACTATTTTGTTGCAGAGTGATGGTCAATTTGCATATTCTCTTTATTAGATAGGATTTTCCTATTGTATTAAGTAAGTGGAAGAGGGGGACACCTACAGTAGAGCCACCAGTTTCTAAATTTGTCCTGAAATCTGAGCAAGGATTCTCTTAAGAATTCAAGCAAAGGTACACGATAGTGTAGGTAGCTAACAAGTATGAATTGAATGCATGTACATTCTAAAGATGGGTCAACCTCGCACTCCTAGAGGGCCCCCAGATTATTTGCAAGGAATTATTCAGTCCCTCAGAGCAGTGGATGGAACTGAGAATCTTCTATCTGAAGTAACCAAATTTTTAAATTTATGCTGTAAACTCTAAATTTCCCAAGGCCCATGCTAACTGGTTCCATTCTTTAAAAACAAACAAACAAACAAACAAACATGTTTTTATTGATTTATTTTGTAGAGCAAGAGAGGGATAGAAACATCAATGAGATAGAAACATCAATCGGCTGCCTCTTGTATGCCCCCTACTGAAGATTCAGCCTGCAACCCACACATGTGTCCTGAGGGGAAATTGAACTGGGACCTCTTGGTTCATAGGTCCACACTCAAGCACTGAGCCACACTAGCGGGGCTAACTGGTTCCATTCTACTGAGCCTGTTGTTTTAAACAAAAATCCAGTAAAATAAATGAATAAACAAACAAACAAACAAATAAATATCAGTTTAGGTCCCAGATTAGCAGAAATGCAGCTAGTTTCAAGGCTGGAAAAAAAAAGAATAAAAATATCAACCAGCCGAAACCGGTTTGGCTCAGTGGTAGAGGGTCAGTCTGCGGACTGAAGGGTCTCAGGTTCGATTAGCGTCAAGGGCACATCCCCTTGTGTGCAAGAGGCAGCTGGTCGATGTTTCTCTCTCATCGACGTTTCTAGCTCTCTATCTCTCACTCTTGCTCTCTGTAAAAAATCGGTAAAATACATTTTTAAAATATTGATATATATATCAACCAAGCTCAGACAGAGCTGGAGCCAGGCCGTTTTCCTAGCCCCTCAATTCACAGGACACAAGAAGCAAAGTTTCCCTATTTGGCATCCTTTTGTCACTTCAAGCTTGACCCACACCCTCAACTCTTGTCTCACTTTTAGTTTAATCCCCCATTTAATATAAATTGGTTTTCCTCTCTGTATTCTTTGGGACCAGCTCAGGTACTTGATCAGGTGGAGCTCCGCAGAAGTCCTGCGGACTTCACTCACAGTCTAGGCGGGGTTTTCCTGGCGCCCTCGGGGTGCAACCTGACTCCCCCTCTCCTGGACCCACCCTCTCCCCTCACATGCTAGCTCTGATTGAAAGCCGTCAGTTGGGTCACTGCCACTGCATCAAAGAGCGAAGCTTCTGGCGAATGGGGCACTGGGGAGGGAACGGCAGCACACCCTGCACACATTGCCCATCCTCTTACTAAAGGACCGCCTCTTGCCGGAGAGCCCACCCACTTCCGCGTCCCAGGGCGAAACTTGGAGGTTTTATCCAATCAGAAGTCCCACCAGTCCCTTGGGCGGGATTCTATGATCCGGTTGGACCAATGAGAACTTCGGCGTAGATTGGCTGCCGACTTCCGGGAAAGCGCCTCTCCCGGAAGTCACCCTCTCCTTTGAGCCACTCGTAGGCGGAGCTAGCCCGCGAGCTCGCCGTGCCACTGGCTGGCACAACTGCCTTTCATGGCAGGTGGGCGGGCGCTACCGGGGCGCTCTCGTACGGCACTGCGGGGCGGGCCGCGCGGGGGGCCGGTTCGGTCTCCGCCTCCGTGGTCCCGGCGCCCGGGCGGGGCCTCTCGGGAAGAAGAGGAGGGGCGGAGGGCGGCTCTTCCCGCCGCCTCCTCGGCAAGCGGCGGAGGGGCCCGCCCCGCGACCTCCGGGGGTCGGTTCTCCGAGTTGCTGTGGTCTGCGCGGGGGGCTCCCGAGGAGGACCGCCGCCGTCGCCGCCTCCTTCGTTACCCGGGCTGACCGAGGTCGCCGACCCCGGCCTTCGCCGGCGCAGGTAGGTGACGCCCGGGCGGGCAGGCGGAGGGACTCAGGAGACCTCCCCCACGTGTGTCCCCCACGCCCTCCCTCCATTGTCAGGGTTTCGCCGGGGTTGGTCCCCGCCCGGGTGGCAGCGTTGCGGGTCTCTCTTGGGCTTTGGCCTGGGCGGAAAGCTGGGCAGTAAATTCGCTTGACGGCGAAGTGTTCGTGCACCGGAGCAGGTTTGGGTCCAGGAAGAGCGGGCTGGACTGGTTCGGTGGAAAGCCACTCGCCCCCAGCAACGAGGCCTGTTTCATCACAGGTCCGGCCTCAAAGAGCGAGAGGGCGGGGACCTGGGGAAGCGGCGAACTCCCGAGCCTCCTGGTCCTGCTGCTGCTCAGCCTCCTTTTCCCCGGTTTGATGGAGACGGGCCTTCAGCTGCGGCGGTCGTTTTGTTAATCGGCATTGGGGCAGGCACGTTGTTATCTGTGTTTGGAAAGACCACTTGCGGGACCCCAAAGGAGCTGGGAGTTGGGGTGGGAGCAGAGGGGGTATCTGAGATCCATGAGATGGCAGAGGGGCTGAGATATGTCCAGGGGATGGATGTGGACCCTGCGAGGTTCAGAATTCCAGCAAGACAGAAACTTGGGCCCCTGAAAAGGATTTTCAAACTAGCATCCGGGAATTGTGCTCTTATAGGATTGATTTCAAATATGCAGGAACTTAAAAAAAAAAATCAAGTAAAAGGTCGGCATAATCTTGACAACATGTTTAAGGGCTACACAACGTTCTTATAAATGGTAAATTGGGAGTGTGCTTACTTTGAAGACCTTGACTAAACCTGTTTCATTTTTCTTGTTAAGTGTAATTGTTGCTTAGTGTTGCTCATACTCTCTCACCCATTTGTGGCGACCATTAAATGAGGTAATGCGTGCAAAGCCTGTAGCAAATACAGCTGAGAGTGTGGTGGAGGCTTGGCTTTAGGTTTATGGTGGGAGTGGAAAGGCCAAGGTCTGCATCAGTCCCGGAACTGCTCATTCCTAGGACCACGCTACCTCCCAGCTCCTTACAGCTCTTTGCAGAAGGCAGAGGTCTCCACTTCTCTCAGCCCTGACTCCTTCCAGGTCCTCTGTGTAATCTCTTATGTATTTCATTTAAAAAGTTAAGGCCTGAGAAATTTAAAAAAAAGAAGGTTTAATATTTAATTTTGTAAATGTAAGCATATCCACTATTTCAGTAATGTTGGATTCCTTTTTAGTGTTGGGTTCCTTTTTTTAATCATGCAAAAAAGAACAGGGAACTATAACAGTTGTACCATATTCCCGAAAAAAAAAAAAAAAAAAAAACAAGAAAAAAACACCACCACCACACAAATCATACTATTTCTTTATGCTTTTGGACTTTTTTTTTCTTTTGAAGGAAAGTAGCATCTCAGCTACAATTGAAATTAGTTTTGCCACTCTCATACCCCTCACCACCACCCCATAGAATTTCTTTGATTCTATCTCGTCTTGCCATTGTGGCTTATAGGATCTACCTGGTGGTGGGCATTTGTGCTCACAAATGTTGGGTGTTCTCCATTCTCGTTCCCAGCCAGCTGCCAGGTTTGTGTTTTATAGCTTATCATGAGAATTATGGCCATCATTTGGTTCTGTCCTTGGGGCATTTGTTCTCTTCTCTCTTAAGAAACTTGACTTTTTTTTTTTTTTTTTATAAACCCTTTTCGTCTCTGGAATGAACCCGTGAAGACTGACACCAGCTGATAAGCATATGCCATCTGATTGACCTCTATTGGGCCACTGTTCCCTTTAACAAGTCCACTGCCTTTACCCAGGATACATTTTGCTCACTTTCCACACTCAGGAAAAACTGGCCTTCCATAGTCATGTATGCCATTTTATAAAATGAGATTTTTAAAATTCATAGTAATGGCTACTATTTTCTGAGAGGTAGGTAACTAAGCACTTTCTCACATTATATGCCACAAGTGGTAATATTTCCATTTTAAGATGAGCAAACACTTAGTAAGATTAGGTGTCAGCAGCCATTTGAGACTAGCGTCATCTCTCTATAGGATGTAATTGTTTTCCCACCCATAGAATGGGGGGATTGTTCTCTGTCAGGAGAGATGGAGTTTGGCATTCACCTGGGTTCTCTTCAACCTTCCTGCCCCACAGCCCGGCGCCCTCGGGTGCAGGAAGCACCTGGGTGGAGGCCTCCTTTGGGAGAGCCAGAGATGGCATCCATAGACTTCAAGACCTACGTGGACCAAGCCTGCAGGGCTGCCGAGGAGTTTGTCAACGTCTACTACACCACCATGGACAAGCGGAGGCGCCTGCTGTCCCGCCTCTACATGGGCACCGCCACCCTGGTGTGGAATGGAAACGCCGTGACAGGACAGGAGTCCTTGAGTGAGTTTTTCGAAATGTTGCCTTCCAGTGAGTTCCAGATCAATGTGGTTGACTGCCAGCCTGTACATGATGAAGCCACCGCAAGCCAGACCACAGTCCTCGTTTTGATCTGTGGAACAGTGAAGTTCGAAGGCAACAAACAGCGGGACTTCAACCAGAACTTCCTCCTGACTGCCCAGGCCTCACCTAGCAACACCGTGTGGAAGATAGCAAGTGATTGCTTCCGGTTCCAGGACTGGACCAGCTAGTAGAGCAGGCGTCAGCCCCAGCTCTGGAGGGAAACATCTCAAAATGTGGGGACACCAGTTCCTTTCTGTTGTTGTGGACTACCCTGGCCAGGTGAACTCTGCATTTGCTCGAGTCCAAGGAGCCCCTTTATTTGTCATAGTTGCCTTTTCGTAGTACAGTTTTCTATTTTTCTACTTGTCCAGTGGAGACCCTGGTTCTGGAAATACTGACAAATAAATAATACTACACGTGTTGTTTCTTTTCTCTTGCCTAATGTGTTTTCAGGTTTTCAGAAGGTACTAGGTTAAAGGCAGTAAGCTTAGTAGAAGGCACCTGCGGAGGTGTGAGGGCCAGGGGCAGGCATGGGTGTGCACACAGGTGTACTGCAGCTGGGCTTCGCAGCTATCTCCACACTGGAATTCTTGCGACGCTTTGAAATTACCTTTGCTCATGCTACCCATCCCAGACTGACTGTACCCTAGTGTCTGAGGTAGTGCTAGCATCAGCATTACAGAACTGGGTTCCTTTCCCATCCTGCCTGCCCTGCTCCAGCTCGGGATCCCCTCCCTGGCTCCTACCAGCTTCCTGCAACCCCCACCTGGTGGGGCGGGGCTTCTGTCCCAGACAAGGCTGAGAGATAAAAGGCCCTGGTAGGTCCAGCCTGAGGGCAGAGCGCTGAGTGGATGGGAGACACGAAGGCTTCCTCCAGGTGGGCATTCCTGCCTAAACTCAGAGTAGTTATTCAGGAAATGTCAGAAATCAGGAAGCATCTAAATGGTCAGTTCCAAGCTCAGCAGTGCACACCATCTGAGGCTGTAAGATGCTCTATCTGGCTGTGCCCAGGAGGAGTGGGCCCCTCGAACAAGTCCATCCAGGCTTCTGGGCATCAAGGGCAGGGTCAGGGCTGAGCCTTCCTGCCTTCTGCACATCAGGCCAGGTGGGGAGCAGGGATCCTTGGGCATGACCCAGACTCTGAGGCTGGCAGGAGAGGGGCTGGTTGCCTGGCCTTCTCACCCTTCCCGTACCTGTTTCCTTTGCCAGGAGCTCATCCCCAAGGTATCCCCAGGCTGATCTCTTGCCACCCCTGGAGTTTTTGCTCAAACTCACCTCCTCAGAGCGGCTCCCAGAATTCACCTGCTCCTAGGTTCTGCCCAGGGGGTAAATCCTACCCAACTGTGGAGTAGGGGTGGGGAGGCAAGAGGGGCCAGAGAGGCATTCTTGGGGGTTCTGGGGTGTCCCAGAGGCCTGCATATATCAATCAGGGTTTTGGTCTTTAACTTGTTCCCATCATTCCTGATATTAAGGACAACCAGGCAAAGAATTATTTGCTCTCACAATTAAGGGTAAACAATGTTTTCAGCAGCATAGCAGTATTTTAAAACATCTTCTGTCTTTGGTAAGGAAAATACAGGTTATAGCAGAATAAAGATTTGTGAATTTGGCTAATATGTCCATGCATTGTGCTAGTATTTGAACATATACATGTCTATAAAGCAAGAAGTGTATGCTAGTACCCTGTTTCCCCGAAAATAAGACAGTGTCTTATATTAATTTTTGCTCCCAAATACGCTAGGTCTTATTTTCAGGGGATGTCTTATTTTTCCATGAAGAAGAATACGGTACACATTATTAAATGAAAATAAAGGAAATTTATTATCTGTATACGGTACAGTAGTTGTCAACACAAACCAGACAAACTGAATCCTACAGTATCAAGAATTTACTCATTTATTCAATGGCAATCATATCATCTTCTGGAACATCATCATAATCCAATTCCTGAATTTCCTGGTGAATATCTTGTGACTCCATTTCTTTCAGAATCAGTGGACCAAATCTCTCATGCTTAGCAATAGCATTCTGAGACAGAGCCTAGGGGGGCCTTATTTTCGGGAGGATGCCTTATATTTCACTCAGAAGGAAACCTGTAAGTAGGTCTTATTTTCAGAGGATGTCTTATTTTCAGGGAAACACGGTAGTTTATTGTCTGAAATGAGGGATCAACGTGTAAATACAGAGTAAAGAGAATGGTACAGGTTTCTGCAGGGTTCTGAGTGAATTAACTATGAACCCAATAATGCTGGGTAACAAATATTTCCCAAATCTCAGCAGAAGCTTTTATTTCGCTTAGGTGACACTTGAAATTGTAGGTTATCTGAATACTCTTCTAGCTGGGGCTGAGTGGGTTCATTTAAAAAGCCTGACCTTTTAAGCCTGAGACTTGGAACTGGCACACTGTCACTTCTATACATCCCATTGGCCCAATCAAGTCACATGGCTGAGGTCAAGGTTAATGGATATGAAGATAGATGCCTTTTCTAATGGGAGAAGCTGAAACTCATGGAAAAGAGTGGACACGTGGGTGAAGAATGGTGACCATCATCGTCAATACAATCTATCCAATTCCTATAAAGGATCAGGTAAAAAATGGGAAGGGCTTCCTTTAGGAATCTGACCTTGCAACTGACACCAGAGAATCAGGACCAGTGAATCCTAAACTCCCCAAAATCAAGTGAAGATGAGCTTATTCTTAGATTAGGAAGCAGAGTCTGGTAGAAGCTGCTTTTAGAGCACATAGCCCCGGTGTCTTTTGGGACTTCCAGAGATTAGATGCTGCTTTGGTTGACATATTTTCAATGGCAGTTTATAGATGAGGAAATGGATTTGTGTTTTTTAAAAAAGGAAAAGGGTGAGATTCTGTTAGGGACAGAAATAGAATATTGGGGACTAGCTATAATTATAAGAAATATTAATCATGCCGAAACTGGTTTAGCTCAGTGGATAGAACGTCGGCCTGCAGACTGAAGGGTCCCGGGTTCGATTCCGATCAAAGGGCATGTACCTTGGTTGCGGCACATTCCCGGTAAGGGGTGTGCAAGAGGCGGCTGATCAATGACTCTCTCATCGATGTTTCTAACTCGCTATCTCTCTCCCTTCCTCTCTGTAAAAAATCAATAAAATATATATATTTTTAAAAAAGAAATATTAATCATGCTCTGTTAATATGATTATTTTGTTCTGAGTAAAGAAAGCACTTTCTAACCTGGCTGGGAGTTGCAAGCAGGACCTGGGAGCTCACGGGAAATTCAGCCCATCTTCCATATCCAAGAACTGCCTTTAAGATTAACAACCTCATTGCAGAAATCAGAGGCGCCAGCCCTTTGCAAACCCCCCAGCCCGCATTGCCTATAAACTGCCCATTTTGCATACCCATTCTTAACCCTTTTGCCTACTTCCCCATGTAATCTTTGTCCTTCTACTCGAATATCAGCAGCTGGCTTTTGAGGGAGGAGGGTGGAGAGCAGATTTTTTTTTTAATTAAATATATTTTATTGATTTTTTACAGAGAGGAAGGGAGAGAGCTAGAGAGCTAGAAACGTCGATGAGAGAGAAACACCGACCAGCTGCCTTTTGCACACTCCCTATCGGGGATGTGCCCGCAACCAACGTACATGCCCCTAACCGGAATCGAACCCGGGACCTTTTAGTCCGCAGACCGACGCTCTACCACTGAGCCAAACCGGTTTCGGCGGAGAGCAGATTTTTGTGGCTGACTTGCTATTCTCCCATACTGCCAGCCTTATTGGAATAAACACTAATTTATGATTCAACCCTGTCTGGGGTTGAATTGGCTCAAGTAGTGACAGGCAGCCCAGACCTCCACTGATTGTCTGGTTTCACTATCAGATGGGCTTGCTCTTTCAGAAAAAAATTGGCAAAAACTATACACACACACACACACATATATAGTTTATTACAGTCTCAAAATTATGGTGAATACATAAGCACTAACACATGTAGAACACTTTTCTGTTAAATTAAACTTTTCATATACTTAATTTAATTGCACAAACAAGTAAAAACAGATAAACTAATTTGTCATTTTTTTAACATATGCACTCGGAAAATTTACTTTATTATATAATGGACTTTGGCTTTAACAGATACCTCCTTGCCCAAATTAGTCAGTTAAATAGAGGTTTTAATGTATATACATTCTAAATATTTAAAAATGACAAGTAACCTTGTGTGAAATAACTTGTTCTACTAATTTGCCCAAATTAAACGTACGTGCAGACGCTCAAATAAGGTCTTGATTAATTCCAAACTTCCCTAAATATGCTAAATTTTATCTACTGCTACCTAATTTGTAGCACTATAGAGCCTTGGAATCCATGTATTAAGAAAATCGCCCACTAGGGGGAGACATCATTCCTCCACTAGAGCCCACTCTGTGCCCGGACTGCAGGTAGCCTGGCCTTGGTCCCTCGCGGCTGCTCTCCCCTCGCGGGGTCTCGGAGGTTGCCCACCCGGAGAGCAAGGGTCTTCTGGACGCACAAGGGCTTTCTGGACGCACAGCGCCCAGCTGATGGCTCCCAGCGCTTCTGCGGGCCTGAGCGCAGGAAGGGGGTGGAGCAGAACACCAGACCGACGCTCCCAACCACGCACGCTGGCTTAGCAGAACATCAAATATCGAGGATGGCGGCTTATTTCATCACCCCTGAGGCCTACCCTCTTCCCTCGGGCTTGAGCTGCCTATCCAGCCCATGCTCCGCCACAGGGCTCTGCCCAGCCCTTGAAGGGCGTGGCCCCACCTGCCCCTCCAACCCTCCAACCCGGGCAGCTCAGGAGGAGGGGTGGGATGGGTAGGACGGGCCTTGGAGCTGAGCAAGTTTCCTGTGCGCTCAGCCTCAGGGCACGGCAGACTTTGTTATAGTTATTTCCAGACTAGTTTACTCATGTTTTTAACTTAGATCATTCCCCATGTGAAAGAATGTAGCCTTCTTGACCTGGTCCGGAGGGTCAGTCGGTTGGAGCCTTGTTCAATACACGGGAAGGTTGTGGGTTCGATTCCCGGTCACGGCGAGTTTGGGAGGCAACTGATGGTTGTTTCACATCAATATTTCTCCCTTCCCCTCTCTAATCAATGAACATACCCTCAGATGAGATACAAATAAAATAATGTAGCCTTCTTTTACTCATATGGTAAGCATTTCTCCGTCATTAAACATTTTCCCAGCTTTATTGAAGTATAGCTGACAAATACAATAGTATTTTAAAAAATGTGCAACATATTTTGGTATGCATTTACATTGTGAAACAATTACAAGTTCCACTGAATGTTTTTAAACGTTATTCTAATGACTACACAATAAATCAGTGCATGGCTGTATCATAAATTAGTCAGTGGTTTCCTGGTGGGTGAACAGGTTGTCCCCGTAGTACAGGAGGACACGAGAGCAAAGCTTTATTT